ACACCCTCCTTCCCTCCCCTCCCCCCACCCACTCCCCTCCCCCCACTCTCCCCCTCCACCCTCCACCCCTTCCCCTTCCCTTCTCCCTCCCCCTCCCCCCCTCCACCAACGCACCCTCTTCCCCTACTCCCACTCCACTCCTGGCCTACACCCCTTCCCCTCCCCTTCCCCTCCCCCTCCACCCACTTTCCTCCCCTTTCCTTCCTCCCCTCCTCCCTATCCCCCAAAGAACCCACGGCAATGGAAGTAACTGTCGCCAGGGTTTATCGAGTCCGTCCTAAGTGCTCGAACGACCGGCCGTCCTCCACTTTGCCCTCTGTCGCCATTTGCCCATCAATTTCCCTCGGCGCCATTTGCCATCAATTTCCCTCTGTCGCCATTTGCCATCAATTCCCTCTGTCGCCATTTGCCATCAATTCCCTCTGTCGCCATTTGCCCATGCCATTTGCCCATTTTGCATCAATTCCCTCGTGTCGCCCATTTGCCATTTGCATTCCCTCTGTCGCCATTTGCCATCAATTCCCTCTGTCGCATCAATTCCCTCTGTCGCCATTTGCCATCAATTTTCCCTCTGTCGCCATTTGCCATCAATTCCCTCTGTCGCCATTTGCCATGTCGCCATTTCTGCCATTTGCCAATTCCGCTCCGTCGCCATTTGCCATCATTCATTTGCCATCAATTCCCTCTGTCGCCATTTATCAATTTCCCTCTGTCGCATTTGCCATTCATTCCCTCTGTCGCATTTGCGCCATCCCATTTCCCTCTGTCGCCAATTTGCCATCCATCATTCCCTCTGTCGCATTTGCGCCATCATTTGCCATCAATTTCCCTCTGTCGCATTTGCCCATCGATTCCATTTGCCACCCAGACTGTTCCACCTGTTTGCCAATTTGCCATCAATTTCCTCTGTTGGCCATTTTGCCACCACTTTTTGGGTTTTTTTTTTTTTTTTTTCCGCTCTGTCCGCCATTTTGCCCCCAATGTTCCCTCTGTCGCCATTTGCCATCCACTGTTCCCCCTGTCGCCATTTGCCACCGCTGTTCCCCCTGAGTCGCCCATTTGCCACCAACTGGTTCCCTCTGTCGCCATGTGCTACAGGCGCCTTGGCTCGTAAGCGTCGCCGCTGTCCTTTGGCGTGTATCTCTTTCTCTCTTTAATGTCATTCACTTCCTCCGCCTCTTTGTGTTTTGCCTGCTTGCGTCTGCCTGTCTGTCTGTGTATGTTTGTTGGTCTGTCTGTGTCTTTGTCTGCCGGTCTAATCTTTGTCTGTCTGTCTATGTTTGTCTGTCGGTCTGTCTTTGTCTGTCTGTCTATGTTTGTTGGTCTGTCTGTGTCTTCGTGCCGGTCTGTTATGTCTGTCTGTCCTATCTCTGCCTCTCTGCCTGAAAATGCAACACACTAAACCCTCCAATACTTCCCAAAAGGCACAACCCTCCAACTCAACAAGACAAACAGACAAACCGGACAGACACACACAGCAAAACGGGGGGCAAACACAGCAAGAAAAACAGACGCATGAGCCAAACGTCAACGCCCCAACCCAAAACATCAAGCAAAGAAAGAGGCTGTCAGCTGGCAAGGACTTTTTCTGCAACATCTCCCTTGCAAAATCGCATCCTCGTCAACTTGCACCTGTCCCACACCTGGCTGATCTATCATAGACTTGTGTGTTGTGTGTGTGTGTGTGTGTGGTGTGGTGTGTGTGGTGTGTGTGCTGTGTGTGTGTGTGTGTGTGTGTGTGTGTGTGTGTGTGTGTGTGTGTTGTGTGCGTGTGCGTGTGCGGCGCGTGTGTGTGCGTGTGCGCGTGCATGTGCGTGTGCGTGTGCGTGGTGCGTGTGCGTGTGCTTGTGCGTATACTTAGGTTTCTCTGTCTATGAAGGTATAGATCAAGGCACCCACCTATATCCTTGTACTCATACCAACATAATCTTCCCACCGAGACAGAAAAGAGATAGAGAGAAATAAATAATAAGGTAGGTAGATAGACAGATAGGGAGAGAGATAGACAGACCGAAAGATATTTAAACATCCACCAGTTCCCACGTGTGCTTTACCGCTGCCATCATCACCATTCTCGATATTATTAAAAAACCCGCAAACCTTTTTATCAACATTATCTTATTATTATTATTTTATCATTATCGATATTTATTAATGTACATCTTATTTTATTATGTATTATATATATCTTATTATTATTCATTATTCTATTTATATCTTATTATTATCATTATTTTATTATATCTTATAATTATCATTATTTTATTATATCTTATTATTATCATTATTTTATTATATCCTTATTATCATTATTCTTAATTATATCTTATTATATCATTTTATTACTTATCATTATCATTATTTTATTATATCTTATCATTATCATATTTCATTATCTTATTATTTATCTATCTTATTACTATATTTTATATCATTAAAACAACATTATCATTTTCTCAAAGACACTATCGCTACCATTACCATTCTCTTCACTAACGGCCGCGAAGGAAGCCAAAAGCTCAAGGAGGAAATGGGACTCGACGAACACAGATAAATGACATGACACAATCTCAGTTACGGTTCCGCCATGATAAGAGAGCCATGACATATGAGTGTCATGAGGCTCTCCTTCGATGGGTCTTCTGTTAATGACACCCTCCCTGGCAGGTCATGAGGCTCTCCTTCCGTGGGGTCGTCTGTTCATGACACTCCCCTGGCATGTCACTTCTTGCATGACACGTTACATGGCAGTCGATGCATGACACCCGATGCAAGAAGCTCCTACGTCTCCACACTCTCCTGACGTGACATAATCCCAGCGCACTCCTCGCATGACATTCCCCGGCCATGACACACAAATGAATACTCCCGCAGGTATTGTTTGACAGGTCAGTAAACTTTGGCGTCTGCTGACCTTGACGCTGGCGGCGTGACCCTTCCAAGAAACAAGGGCATTCCTCATCCTACTGAATTTATCACCGTTTTTTTATTTTCTATCATATATTTTCTTTTCTTTTCTTTTTTTTATTCACGGGTGAAAAACTATCACAGGTGAAAACCATAAAAGTGGAAACATTGTTGAAAACACACAGATGATAAACGCAGTTGAAAACACAGATGGAAAAAAAAAAAAAAAAAAAAAACACGAAAATACTCGAAAATACTCGGGTGAAATTCAACCTCTATACATTACGGCCTGCTACAGCATTACTGACTGACACACCACATGCGTAATTCGTATCCCGCTTTCCCTAAAACAGCCCCTCACGCGCCACACACCTCCGCCATCCACCACCCCCACCCCCACCACGTACAGACCAGTGATCCATTAACAAACCAACGTGCACCGCCACAAGACAATATCGTCTCCGTCCCCCCCAGCACCCCACCAACGTTACGACGCCATTACACAACGTCCAACCACCACAGCACCTCCGTCCCCCCACCCCCCACCCCCACCAACGTACACCATTACACGCCGTCACCACCACACACCTCCGTCCCACCCCCACCGCCCACCAAACGTACACGTCCATTACACACCGGTCACCACCCACCACCACCACCTCCGTCCACACCAGGTCCCACCGACACCCAGCAGCACGGTAACACCAATCTACACAAAGAATAAGCCGTCACCACCACACAGAACACTGACTGGAGGGTCCTACTCCGTCCCCCACCCTCGCCGTCGCCTACGCACCTCAACGACCGCCCCACCGCCCGACCAACGTACACCGCATTAACAACGACAACGTCACCACCACACAGAACTGTGAACCTCGCCCCACCACCTTGCCCCACCACCAACGTCCACCCCATTACAAACACGGCGTCACCACCAACACACGTCACCTCCGTCACCCCCACCTGGACCCCCACCCCACCCCGAACACACCCATTACACAACCGTCACCACCCACCCCTCCCTCTCCCCCCCTGTACACCTTATTACACACAGGACCTCCAATCACTCAACCATGATATCCTATGTTCTGCCCCCATGTCAATTCACACATTTGACGAACTTTCTGTATCAAACACGAAACATATGATGAGAAAGAATGAACAACTTGGTTATAAAGAGGTGAATTTGCGCATCCCTGAGGTATATTGTTTCATCAAGAATTACGTGTAACAGCATCGCATCCAGCTCGTAATCTTGTGTGTAGAAAAAAGGTATGAATGAGCAATGAAATATCTTCACAATACAGAAGCATGTAATTTTTGGCCGGTTTTCCGAATACATCTTCGTTCAGAGACCGGTCAAAGGCGTCTCTCTCTTTGTACTGTGAAGACATTCAATTCATTCCATACCTTTTCTACAATGTGTCAATCACTGAATACCGTCATCGTATAAATTGGTCAGAATAGGTGTGGTTTTGGAACATACGGGACGTGTCGAAAGCAACTTATAACACCTCTTGCTTCGTGAAATGATTACACTGTCAATCGACAGCCTACAACCTGTACATACTTGGGTAACACTGAGACTCATCCAACACTAACATACTTCACCATTTTTCATTATTGCATCATCGCCATCTTTGATTCATCGCCATCCCCCAATAACCCTAATTGACAACAAAATCATTAAAAAAAACATGATTCCATCCTCAGCAATCATCAAACGGAAATAGGTCTGGGTGTGCCAGGAATCCACTTCGCAGAACCATGAAGCAAACAAGGCCTGGCAT